CGTACGCTGTCAGGGCGCTGGCGTCCGCCTTGGAGGCCTGCAGCCCCGAGATGGAGGCGTCTCGGCTCGCAAGCTCGGAGGCCAGCGCTGCGGCGGTGACGGCCCCCAGGAGAGCGTTGGCCACCTTGGTGTCTACCTCCAGCGGCGTGATCCTCGCCGCTATGTCTAGGGAGTGCTGGTCCACCACCGTCTTGAGGCCGTAGTTGGCGGCCACCGTGGCCAGCGTGGCGTTGTTGGCCGAGGCGATGGAGCCGTTCATGGCCGTGGTGCTGTAGTTGGACAGCTTCAGGTCCACGCCGTCCGGGGTGCTCTTCGTGGCCACCACACCCTCCAGCACGTCGAAGCGAGCTCTGCAGCGCGGCGATGCTGCTGCCGTGCGCGGCCACCTGCCCGTCCGTGGTGGCCAGGGCCGCCGCCGTGGCCAGGGGCGCAATTGCCGGCGCCAGCGCGCTGCTGTCCAGCTTTGAGGCCAGCTCTGCGGTGACTCTGCCGTCCAGGGACTGGATGGCCGCTGCGTTGTTGCCGGAGGCTGCAGTGTTTACCGCCAGGTCCGTTACTTGAGCGTAGGGCGTCGAAGCAAGGGCCAGCTGCCCTGCGGTCACGTGCGTACCGTCAGTTACCTCTCCGTTGTCCAGGACCTCCGGGATATTGCCGGTGACAGGTCCTTCAAACATGTTTACATATGTTTTCGCCGACGCCTTAGTCCAGTGGCTAAGGCGTCGGCCAAGGAGCTAAGCGCTTCTTACTCCGCACGGGGCTCGATTCCTGCCGCGAGCGCAGTTGAGTACCATTCAGTCCGAACTCCGGCCATTAGAAGGTTCCGCAAAGCGAGGCCGGCTCCGCGGCTTCGGTCTTGGAGCGAGGCCGGCTCCGCGGCTTCGTCTTGGAGCGAGGCCGGCTCCGCGGCTTCGGTCTTGGAGCCCGCACCAGGCCCGCACCAGGCCCGCACCAGGCCCGCACCAGGGTTTTTTTTTCGGATGTGACTCAATTTCAGTGTCCGACATAATCGGACACTGCTTCGTAGTTGGTGATAACATATGAGACATCATCAGCTGCTCTCCTCCATGTCGGCGGGCTGGCGCCGCCAGGGTCGCGCCACTGCAGAAAGTGCCTGACATCCTCACAAAAAAAATGTCGAGGTTGTCCCCCCACAGGACAACCTCGACATTTTTTTTCCTGTGAAGAATTTCGACCTTGGCGCGGGCTCGGCAGGGCTCCGATGCCGGGCAGGTGGCGCGGCCGGGTCAGGCGAATGCTTCTCGCACTTGGTCTGCAATGAAGAATGACGAGAATTTCAACATGTCAATCCGACATGTTGAAGGAATTCGGTGCCCGGGACAACAAGGTGGCTGGCTCCGCAGCAAATCGGGTTGTCCGCGTTGTCCGCAGTGGGTGGTAGAATCCCCCACTGTGGACAACCTCTCTCTTTAGAGGGGGTTTCCCAAATGGATTCTATTCTACCTGAATCAAATCGTGGGGGGAGTTCAATGCAGGGAATCCCTGCATTCCCGGTATCTCTCTCTTTAGAGGGGGTTTCCCAAATGGATTCTATTCTACCTGAGAGGCTTCTCGTCCGTCCTCCCGGCGCGGCTCCGATGCCGGGCAGGTGGCGCGGCAGGGTGGCGCAGTGCCAAGCCGCCGTATGACCGTATGACCGTATGATCCGTATGATTCGTATGACTCGGCGGGCTGTGCGTGTCAGGTGGCGCGGCAGGAATGTGGCGCACTAGGTGTCGAAGCCTCCGATGCCGGGCAGGAATGTGACGCTGGAAAGCATAAGTGGCACTTATGCTTTCGAAGCGGCCAGGTGGGAGGCTTCTATGCCGGGCAGGTGGCACGGCCGGGAGGCTTCTATGCCAGGCAGGTGGCGCGGCAGGGTGGCGCACCCGGAGTGCCAAGCCGCCGTATGACCGTATGATCCGTATGATCCGTATGACTCGGCGGGCTGGCGTGTCAGGCGCGGCTGGAAACAGGCACCAACCATTTTTTGGTTGCTGCCCGCGTGGAGTTCCGTGGAGTTCCGTGGACGCGAACGCGTGAGCGATTGCAGCGATGCTGAGATTGCGTGCGCGAAAGCGCGAACAAAAGAACATGGCCTCTTTAGAGTCTTTCTAAAATGGTCCATTCCATCAGAACTGTCCGTCTCATTTGATCTGTCCTGCGTCGCGAAGGATTCGAAGTCTAAAACGCTGCGTGCAGGCGTGTGGCTGCAAAATAATGACCCCTAGATATGCGGTTTGGCAAAATGCCCAGCAGCTGCCTTTGTTTCTGCAAGGCGAGCCCTCAAAGAAACCCTGCTTTTTTGGTTGGCTTCTGGCTGGCTTGGCTTGGCTTCTGGCTGGCTTTCTGGCTGGCTTTCTGGCTGGTTTGGCTTGGCTCCTGGCTGGCTTTCTGGCTGGTTTGGTTTGGCTTCTGGCTGGCTTTCTGGCTGGCTTGGTTTGGCTCCTGGCTGGCTTTCTGGCTGGTTTGGTTTGGCTCCTGGCTGGTTTGGTTTGGCTCCTTCTGGCTGGTTTGGTTTGGCTCCTGGCTGGCTTTCTGGCTGGTTTGGCTTGGCTTTCTTTTTTTTCCCTGTTTTTTTAGCTCGCCTTGCAGAAACGCAGCTGCTGGGCATTTTGCAAGCATATCTAGGGGTCATTATTTTGCAGCCACACGCCTGCACGCAGCGTTTTAGACTTCGAATCCTTCGCAGGACAAGGTCAAATGCTGGACGGACGAGTGCCAGGAGCCTCTCAGGTAGACTAGAATCCATTTGGGAAACCCCCTCTAAGGAGAGAGGAGGTTCGATTCCACCCCGGTACCTCGGCAGGCTGACGTGTTAGACACCGGTAACATCGGCGGTGACTAATTCAGCAGGCTGCCGTGTTACGGGAGAACCTCGGCAGGCTGTCGGGCTCCGAGCCAGGTCCTCGGCGGGCTGCCGGGCCGCGAAAAACCCTGCGGAGAAGGAGCTCGGGAACTGGACCCGTTTTGCGCACTTTTGCACCCAAAAAGCGAGTGGTGACAAAGCTGTGACAGCGGTGACGAGTTCAGCGGGCTGGAATTCGCAGGCTTTTCGGGGCAGAAAACGGATTTCGGAGCACAGCGAACGCCTGGAGCCGGTTTTCGGCGGAAAACGAGCGAATTTGGAGGCCCAGGCAGCACATTTGACGCCGGACACGAAAAACGCACTTTTCGGAGTTCGCCGTTTTCAGCGCTTTTTGCACCAAAAACGGAGCGCGACGAAGCGGTGCCATCGCTGGTGACAAGCGTTTTTTGGGCGAAAAAAGGCAGTTTTGGAGCGTTTTTGGCCCAAAAATCACAAATAGTTAGGTTACTATAAGCTGCCTTTCCTTATTACTCCAGCTCGGTTGTTGGCTTGAGCGAAGGGCTACCGCCTAAACCGGCGGCTTGGGCTGAGTTGTCTTGATCAGACGTTCCTGGAGGCCTTGTGGCTGGGTGACAACGCTGGTGGTTGTCTTGCAGCGTGGATCTCCTCAGCGTGCTACGCCTTAGTGTGGGCCGGACGGCCACTTATCAGTGCTTTGTGTGGCATATTCCATCTCTCACACCCAGCAAGTCCATTTGGCATACAGGGGCTCTTTGGTACTGGTAAGACGTACGTGGGAGTGCTGTTCTGATGTTCATGCGCAACACTGATTCCTGCTGCGTGGTCATCACGCTGGGCTCTTGCTGCATGAAAATCAATATCCAGGTTCTTGGGGTGTGTTGACCTCTTGCTTGTTGATAAGGCCCAGCAGGCTGGCCAAGCTGCCTATGTGGGTCCATGGCAGTGCCCGCACAGGGCTGCACGGGGTTTTTTGGGACCGTTCAAGCATTGGGCGGACTTTTTCTTTAGCGCGTGATGTGTTGCCAGCTCCGCTCTCCCGACGGCAAAGAAATCTGATGTGCTCCAGCTCCGCGCAGCGCATACCTCCTTCTCAAAGATCTATGCGGCACCGCTGGTGCAAGCGCTCGGCCTTGAGCAGTGCATCCTTGCGAGGCCACTTGTTGGAAGGCCGCTGGGTCATCAGAGCAGCCGCAAGGCACGGAGCGTCCTCGTCCGCCCACGCGGCGGGCTTCTCCACAACCATCCTGCGCCGGTCTGCTGGTTGGGCGTGGGCACGCATGCCACGGCATGCACGCACTGCATGCATTTGCAAGGACACGCATTGTCTTGCCTCAGCCCTGGAAGCAGTGCTACTTTCAGCAATCCCGGTAAAAAGAACTGCGGCCGCTTCGGACTTGCTTTGTTCTTTTGGGTGGTCTTGTTTGGGTTCAAGCTAGGAGCAGTGCAACATGCCTTAACTGCGAGGAGCAAACAATTGGTCGAGCCGGCCCGAACAAGACCGTTGGGCGATACATGCCACGCCGGTGATGCTGCCGATGCCCGGTGGTATTTGGAGTGATGCTGGTGCTCGAAAATGCCCGTGAACACTCCACCAAAAATAACAAACGACATCAGTGATTGCATTCCCTTTTTGTTGGCATCAGGCACCATCATGGGCCTGGCAACTTGGTTCAATGAATGAAGCAGACAACGTTCATGTTTTTGATTGATTAACGTGTAAAAAGCGGTTTGCTTGATATCTCCGTAAGTTTCTTTGGTGAGGGCCGCGGATAAATGCAGTTGTTTATGTCTTTTCCTTGAGGATGACATCGTCCGGCGTTTTTATTTTCTAGTGCAACACATTGTTTTGAACAACGACGGGCACTCTCAAAGAAAATGCGTTCTCATATTGCTTGAGGAAAACATCCCGCAACCGCAGGTGTCAACATTTCTTGGGTGGTAAAAAACCCGTATCCTCCCAGAAACCACAGTTCATGCATGATGTGTCCCCTGTTGTGTGTGTGTGTGTGAACCGCACCTTACAAGCAGAACTTTGGTTGGCTCTCATCTTGGAAAAAGGTTGATGTTCTTTGAACACCATCCAAGCTGAACTCACCGCTGGTAGCATGTCGACCATGGCAAGCGAGAGAGATTATTTTGGGATGCACCCAAATTCAAGCCCGCGCCGCGAACTTTTTTTCGGCTCAGCAGAAGGGCCCGCAAAAAGGCGCAGCTTTCCTTTGGTCAAGGCATTCGAGTGGGCATCGGGGGGGGGGGGGCAAGCGCATGGGGCCTGCTCGATGAACTGAGCTTGGGACTCTTCGTTGTTTCGACACGATGTTTTAAGGGTCGTATAAACTGATCATTGAAATGCCCCTTTTTAAATGTATTTTTGGAAGCCTTTGAAACCGGGACACCGAAAGGGATTTCACAGGAAGGAACTCTCAATGCAAGTAAACTAATTAGTTGCGTAAGAAACCTTAAGACGACGGTAACAATGGGGGGGCGAGGGGTTCCTTGTTACTTGTTTTTAAGCTTGCAATATGGAGGTGCATCCACTCTTCTTCCAACCAAAGGCACCTGGAGATGATCTGGGTAATGTAGTCCCCAGATCTAAGTAGGACCAGTTCTGTTAGGGCGGTGTTCTGCTGAACCCTTACAAGGGGACCCCGAAAACAAATTGAACTAGGTGTTCTAACCGTGCTTGGTGCTTGGCTTAGAGGCTTAGAGTAAACTGTATTCTGTTGGCCTCTCACGCAGCCTAAGCGAGGCACCTTTGGCAGCCAGGGAGACACACCCATATGTTCTTGTATTCTTGTTTATTCACTTGGAAAACAAAGCCCTTGAGTGCGGCGACCGGAGATGTGGGCGCTTTGAGTGGAACATACCACAGCCATGGTGTTTGGCATGTTCCAAAGGGTCTTCGAATTTGGAGTGTTCGAGCTGGGTGGTGCAACGGGGAGTTTTTTTTTTCCTGGGGTTGAGCCAGTTCCCCTTTTGGACTTGGCGTCGTTTTTGTGGACACCATCAGTCAATTGCATTTTTTGGGGAAAACCCAGTGCTGTCGACGAAATCCGTACCAGGTGCTAGTTCATAGACATTGATCGGTGTTTTTTCCCATTGTTTATAGGGTTCCATCCATCAGTCGGCCCAAGTGGTGCCTGGCGTGGATTCAATACCGGCTATAACAGCCATTGTTATAAGTCTCCGTTCAGTGGGTTATAACCAGGCTTACCTGCTTACCAACCCGATCGCCCCAAGTATAGCGTTCCCTCATTTCAAGACACATCAACTTCTCGCACGCGAGGCAAGCGGCGAAAAAATCCTTGCCATGAGGAGCAACGGGATCGGGATCGGGCACGGGTAAGGGCCCAAAAGAGCGGAAGGGGAAGATTATTTGCCACCTGTTTGTGTTGGCAGTATTCCTATTTGTTAATATTTTTATGTTTTGGAATGTTTTCAGTTGTTTAGTTTCTGATGGTGGGGCATTCTTCTAACAAAAACAAGATCGGGAGCAGGAACACCCCAGTTGGACCTGTCATGTTCCATGGAAAAAAACAAAGCACGGAGTGTGTCCTGAGGCGCTCCTTGATTTCCCACCAAAGAAGCGAAGGGTTTTTCCAAACTTGGTTTGCCTTTCTCCAGATTACACAGCGCGCGAAGGATCTTCCAAGTGCTTGTTTTCTTGTCAGACGAAGGCCTCCCCCCAAGTGCTCCTGATCCTTGGCTTTGTTGAGCTAAAGAGCCCAACTTCCTCGCAACATGGTTGGTGCACTGTTGCTTGTTAATATGGATTTTTTTGAGAAATGCCATGTTTACATCTCCTCTTGGGAGACTTTCCTTCTTGGGCAACCCATGTCAATTTGTAGGGGAGTAAGTGTGTTATCCTTGGACAGGAAAGCTCTTGTCGAATGCGAACAAATCACGTACCAGCTTTCTCAGAGAGTGTTTTGTTGTGAAGCAGGTGGTGTTTGGATGTGTAGTGCAATGTTGGTCCGCCTGCAATACATACCCCCCCGACTAAACAGAACCCCCTTAATGATAAATTTCCCTAACAAAGCAGGGCGTTTCATTTGGGAGCATAAAGATTCCATTCCAGACGATACATGTGGGCAGTTGGAGGTCTGGGTTGAGACACAGTCATAGAGTTGATCACCCAGGAGCGAAAAGCAGGGAACGTTCAGTTCCGGCGTTCCAAATCGGCCTCCTGATCCATTTCATCGACCTGAATCAAGGATCAAAGGTTAAGTCATGAGTCTGTCAAATTGATTTGGCGGTGGATGTTCTTGTACTGTTTTGGATTGTGCCGTACTAACCAGCTATCGAGGTTTTGATAATGGCTCAAAATCTGTCAAATATCGTGAGCACATCAGCGAACCAAACTTTTGTAATTTGCGTGCGCTTCTTCTTGTGGCCTGAGGATGCAACAAGGTTCCCCAGATGTCCTTTGACATCTTCCTGCCCCTAGAACCACAAGAAACTAAATAAATGTTGGTTGCGGGAAATTTGGTTTGAGGGCCTTCTGTGATACCCTAAGTGTCAAAGTGTCATGACTGACTTCGGCATTACAAACATTGAGACCTCCCAGGAACTGCAAAGCCGCGCTGGCCGCAGGACGGGAGTGATGGGAGGAGAAGGGCCAGAGTCGAGCAAGGGTTCCTGTGTTTGGACTAAGGAAGGCATGCCAGGGTGGGGTAATCCACCATCCCTGGTTTAAAACTGGCTTGCCTTGAGTTTTATTCAGAGAAATGAAGCCTTCCTTCAAAACTGTGGTTCCCTTCTGGCCAACATCGCAACCAACAGCATGGCAAGTATTAATAAGTGAATTGATCTGGGGTTTCCTAGTCTGTTGCCGGTACCGTGCTTTTGCGTTCAGGCCATTCCCTTCTGATCCGTTTGGCACCATGGGTTCCGTTGTTTTCAGGCTGCCAATCGGGCTGACCAGCAATTGGCCAGCGTATGTGGCTAGCGCCTCAGGAAACTATGCTCAGTGAGTCTGCGCCTGTGCAACTTGCATCTCCTGCCGCGCATTTGACTTCAGATCTCCTGCCGACTCGGCTTGCGTCTCGCAAGCTTGCACGCTTGCGCCTGGAAGCTCAGCGCGCTCGCCGGCCTGATTTGCTTCTGATCCAACGAGGCTGCGCACGCTCCAGGGCCTCTGCCGGAGCCGGGCAAGGCCTTCAACCTTTGTTGGCAGGGGGCAGTTGGGCGGATCTTTGACATCCTCGTCTTCCTCGTGCAAGCTCTCCGCGGGCGCGGCGCGTAGCGGCTCAGCTCGGCGGCCTGACGCGGCACCAAGGTCCACAAAGGGGGGAACGTATTGACAACCTCCCACCCCGATTGGTGGTTTGAGCTGGTTGCGAAGAGATTAGGACATAGTGGTCTTTGGAAAAGGGGGATTTACGCAGGTGGCACCCACTGAAAGCTGTGAATCGAAAAATCATCGCATCAACTAGGGCAAATAGAAGTAGCTTATATTGCATTCCCTGCGGCCAGGGGGGGGGAGGGGTGTTTCTTTGGGAGCTGTTTCAGTGTTTGGGGTTCGCTGGTCCGCTTCGCCACAGCTTGGGTGCCGCTTCGCTTTTCTGCACTTCCATGAGAGTCTTTCAAGTATTGCAAGCAAGCCAGCCACGCTTGACCGCAAAACGATAATTTATGGTAGGTTATACCTCGATTCCAAACTTGCAATATTGTTTTTAAGTCCACCACCGCATAAAGAAACGGCACGAATGGGGGGTGGGCTCCTTTTTCCCCGACCACTGAGGTCGGGGATCATTTGCCTTCCTTCCCCCAAAAAACAACAAAATGAACAAACACAAGAAGGAAAGGGGATCCCACCCACGTACTGTACCTTCCCTGCGGCGGACTGAAAGACTTGGAGCCATTTGTTTTTCCAGGCACTCTGGGCGCGCTGGCGCCGCTGCCTCGGACGAGTTGCGGCGGGTGGTTTCGGCGCCACTTGTGTGTATTCCCCTGATCTGCAAGCGGGGCTCCGTGAAGAGGTGCTTTGCTGCTCATGGGGGAAGCTCCGGAAGATGGTGTTTTCCCTTTGTTTCTTCCTTTGTAGAACAGATGAAGAAAGAAACAATCGTTTGTCGGCTCACTTTGTGTAATCGACATAATGGGTGCCATCAGATTGACGCGGATTAACCCAGGTTGCTCATGTCGAAGGCAGGGGAACGATTACCCTAAGAAATTGAGGTGAAGGAGCCCACTAAAAGCTAGGTTGTGCAACAATCCAAACCTTGCAACTGGGATTGCGGTGTCCCAATTTGGATGAATTATTAGGCCACAAGAAGGGTTTCCAACAACAGATTCGCACCCAGCAAGCATGAGTTGTTTTTTCTTTCTCCAGTTCTTTTTTGTTTCATGTACATTTTTGTTCAGGACAGAGCATATCTTCAATCTTCTTTAGTGGAGCAGGGATTCTTCGGGTCTTGTTTGCTTGACTCGCAAATAGGAACAGCTTGCGCGTTTCCCCGAACATCATGCATATTGACAAAATCCCACAACAGTTGGGAAGTGGTTTATCCCATCATTGATCGGGCTTCGTCCATCCCAGCAGGTGCAGGATCTTGTCCATCCACAGTGGTCAAGGGACTGGAGACCAGGAGTCAAGAAAGTTCTCATGTTTTTTTTTGAGTTATTATTTGTGCTGTTTTTGTTTCCCCCGTTCGTTTGCTTTTGGTTTCCCTTGAAGACCACAAAGGTTCTAGAGAGCCGTGAGGTGCACTTATGACACCTCCTTCGTCGCGCTGGGGAAGGCGCACACGCGGATGTGGGCGTGTCTTCTTGAGAGTCTCTGATTTGGGTCTGTCTGTTTTGAGGGTACCCTTTTGTGGTAGCTTTGAAAGGGAAGCCAAAAGGAAAGCCACCATTTGTTGGCTTGCACTAAAAATAGATAAAACAAATAGTCACATTCATTCGGGACTGGTTTAAAGGAAAACACTCAGGGCAACAGGTTCCCATTTTGACACACACAAACCAAATGGATGGTGGTGGCCCGCGGTTTTCCTCTTAGCCTCCCTTGCAGCAACCAAAAGAGGACATTCTCCCCAATAACATCAAGACATCACATGTGGGGGGTTTCACTTTCTCCCAAGTGAAGTCCTCGTTCTGTGCCGAGGGAAACCAAGGGGAAAACCGCCTCGAGGGCTCGGGGCCCCATCTCCTCGCTCCGAAGGCGGTCACCTCCAGCAAGGAGCCGGGCCCTGCGCGTGCGAAGCCATCGGCGCAAGGCGCTCGGGAGAGCGGCGGGGGAAGTGCCGGGTTTCGCGAAGGAGAACGGGAGCGAGTCAACCAAACCCAAAAGGTCAGGGGAAGACGACATCAGGGGCCCTTGTAAAGCAGGTGGTTGTGGGATGTGGCCTGGAAGGAACCATGCACCAAGTTTTTTTTTGGGCCCATGCTCTTTCAAAAAGTTCCTTGAAACACCCTAGACTCCAAGAATGGTTGGTGTCTCACTGAAGATAGGGGAACCCCCCAAACCATTGGTTTCCCTTTGGTACCTTGTGCGAATGTTTGGTCTTCCAACACCCTGACCCTCACCCAAACGGACGTCCATCCGCTCCTTTGGGTTTGGGGCCAGGCGCGGCCACCCCCCTGGCGACCGGCATGGCGGCTGCTGGCCTGGCCGGCGCCGCGGCAGCCGCGGCGGGGAGCTCTCGGCCGGCCCGGCGTGGAACTTTGGGCAAAGGGGTGGGGTTGGGGGGTTTGGGGGGTGTAGTTCGATAGGGGAAGGAGTGGGAACCCCCGAAACTGAACAATTGGACCATCCAACTGGGGATCACCCAGAAAGTTGATTCCCTATCAGATTATCGAACCAAGCAAAACGAAGGGGTATGTCCTTTCCCGAGAGTTGCGCTTCAGCTCACGCAGGTGAATCGCATTTCGTCCACAGTATCTAAGGCTTAGCGAGGTCGGGCGGGAGGTCCTCGCGGCCCAGCAAGTCCAACGCGAGCCATCGGGGACGAAGGTCGCTGGGCTCAACCAAAAGACGTGCTCAGATATTTCACCCGTAAGTTGGCTTGGACATAAACCATTCACGGTTACCCTCCAGGACTCCAAGCTTCCACTTTGTTCACTGTTTGGGGCCAACCTGCGGTTCCTCGAAAGCCAAAAATAGTGCTGGGTTACTGTATGCAGGGCGCACTCCAAGAACAAGAAACATCCCTTTTTCAGGCCTATGGGTTTGGAACGTCCATTTTGGGAATTGTAAGTTGGCCGATGTATTTTTTTAGAGATTTCTCCACCTGCAATTTGTGTGGAGCAAAAGGCTCTCCAATTTCAGACCTCCGCGCTCGGCAAAGCTCGGCACAAAAGCCATCGCCCGTTTCTGGCTCAGACGTGAAGCCCCCTCCCAGTTGTGGCCCAACAAGGCAACAACACCCAAGAGACGAGGGCTTTAGAAACCTGGATCTTGTTCCCTGTTGCTCCATGAATTCCGCCAACCAAAGCACAAACCAACAGACAACAATATCGACCATCTTTCTCCCAGCTGCTTCTGGCTACCGCCGTGTTCTGAGGGGTTTCCCCCTCCCCGCGCCTGGGCCTTCGCGCCCTTGGGGTGGGAAGCGGCAGAAGCGGCCACCGGCCTTCGCATGGCGCGGCGGGGTCGGCGGCTTCGCCATGCGGGGGAAGAGCCTCTACGCCCACTTCGCGGGCTCCGAGCGCTCCGAGCGCTCCGAGGAAGCTTCGTTGGTCGGCGAATCGCCCAGGTTTGTGTATGCCAAGCCCCGACTAAAAGGGGAGGCGGAAAAACCAGTCGGACACCTTATATTCTTTGATCAATATGTAAAAATATGGCCTGCAGCTCAGGGTTTGCAGCTTGCAGCTCGCACGGAACCGCACGTCGGAAGATCGGGTTTCACTAGGGGTTCACCTTGGTAGTTTGGCATCGTGAAAGTTCCGAAGGTTGGGCAGCCAAATCCTAATTCTTTGGGTAACGTAAGGCTCCAGCCCACTTTAAGGGTTTCCCTGGAATGGATGTTGAACAGCCGTATTGTGGAATGGGAGGACCGTTTGAGTGGTACGACATCTCAAGTACCCTTTAAGCAATGGAAGCTGACGATCTGGTGTTGTCGGACCACTGGGACTACTTTTGTTTTTTGGACACCTTGGTTTTACCTTTTTAATGGTCCAGGTTTACTTTTATTTCTAGGTCCTTTGGGCAAGCGAGCTATGATTCTTGGAAGGGCTGCCCCTTGCTGCCGCGTTTTTGGTTTCACCTGCTTCTGCGTCGGCGGTAGATATCAGTTTCAGGCATGGCATGCTCAAAAGTCATGCACCTGCCTAAAGGCTCTCTCGCCAACAGGCTATACGGATTGTTCCTTCTCTTGTGGCCTTGTTATGCGGTCGGTTTGGACTCGACTCCATGCGCTCGGATGAAGCGTGTAGCGTAGTCGACTGCATCCTATAGAACCAATCACAAGGGGGTCCCCCCAAAAACGCCAGGCCTGGCCTGTGGCAGGCTCCTTACCTGGCAATGACCTCAAAACTCGTCGTTTCAGCCCGCGGGACCCCAACACCGATTCCCAGTTGAGTGGTTCGGTTCCTTCTTGGTTTCATCGGGGGTTACCCTCTGTCCGTTGCCATAGCTGTCGGGGACCTAGAGGAAGCGGATCTTCCAGGTGGTGCAGGGGCCTTCGGTTTGTGGCAAGCAAGCTCTGCATATCTGCGCGCCAAAAGTCAGCTTGGGTTTGGGGGCGGTCAGCAGTAACTTGATCAGCTACGGAGAAACCAAGTCCTTTGTTTTTTGTTTGAAGCATTGCACTTTCCTTGCTGGTTCTCAGCAGGGAATCAGAAATGGAATGATTCCTAAAAGTCTAAAAGACCATTGGTTCCTTTAACGGAATCTCAAGTCGGTTCATTCCCTACGTACCAGCGAGTTTTGGCCGTGATGTCAGCAAGGGCAGCCCAACGGGCAGGGAGTCTCTTAGAAGGGGGGGAGGCAACCCAGGTCAAAGCGCACCACCCCCCCCTCCCAGGTTCCTTTTAATTCGCTCCAACAGATTTCAGAATATGCTCGAACATTTGTTTCCTTGTAAAACAGCCCCAAAACAGGTTTCCCTGAAATATACACATCCAGAAGGTTCCCCGAAAAATACACATCCAGAAGGGTATTTGCCCAAAAATAGGGGGACCCATCATGGTGTGCTGAGCCTCAGCAAGACACATTTGGACCCTAAACAGAGGGCTTTCCTTCTCGCCAACAACCCTTCATGATACTCGGATCACTCGGCGTTTATCCCCACCGCGATACAAGGGAATCTCCCCCTTTGTATGGGGGGTCAGAAGTTGTCATTTCTCACAGCCCTGGCAACTGGGTGTTTCCCTTTCATTCGTCCATCAATGAACACCCTTTAAAGCATGCGGGCAAAAGGCGTGACACGTCCACCAACGCTGCCTGGCTGTGCTAGGATCTCGTGGAGGATCTTGAGGTAGAGGCGCTTGCAAGAGTCGTCCGGATGCAAGTGGATCACCCTCCGGGTACTGTGCATGGTCAAAAGTGCATCAAAATCCACGTTGGTAGGTTTGTCCCAATATTTTTCTATAGATTTCATCTATCCGAGGTGCGAATCAGATTTCGGCGGTCGATGTCGCCGGTTCTTGCCCTGCTAATGCGCAAGACCGAAACGTAGGCCTTTTAACGCTGGGGTTCGATTACGCGGTTTTTAGCAGGGAAAGAGACATGGAATGACCCCCAAGAAAGACAATCCTCGATTTGGCTTCCTTTAAGGACATCCCAAAACGGTTCATTCCCAGCACCCGGACTCGTCTTCATACTTATCGCACCAGCAAGATTAATCAACCCCAGTAGGGAAAGGCCGAGTCCAGGTGTTGGGAATGAACCGTTTTGGGATTCCCGAATGAAGGAAGCGGAATCGGGGATGGCTTTTCTTGGGGGTCATTCCATTTCTCATTCCCTGCATCTCTCGCACCGATCCCAAGTTAAAGAAGGAATCCTTCAATGAAATACCTCGGTCCGAAAAGGACCAGTGGCAACACGCCAAACGGCAGCCTCCAAGATCGGATTTGTTTTTGGGCGGTGAAGCCGCGCGGCTTTTCTTTCTTCTTGGGGGGGGGGGGGTACGGAAGGGTGGCATTTTTTAGGTGAGTTTGGTTAGAAATACATGGATTCTGGTTTAGATGGGCTCTGTAAACCATGCGGGGCCATCTATGTTTCCAAAAGGTCACGTATGGCAAGGGTTGGGTGGGTCAAAGAAGGGAAAGGGGACACCTTTCCTCAATCAACCGGAGGTACCGCCCTTCCGTACCAAAATAGCCCAAAGGTCGCAGAAGCACCATTTGATAGCCACGGGTCCAGGAAAATGCTGTTTGGAAACGTTTTCCTGTTCAAGCAGGAGTTTGTGACCGGACCCTCGAAATTGGTTGTTCCACCGCAGAGAATTGTAGGCCTCACAGATGTTGACAGGTTGGCCCGATCCCGCTTTGCCTGTCCCGAACTGGGACAGACCTCCGGCTCAAAAAAGTTTCCAACGCCCAAAGCGTATTCCCAGTTTTTGCCTGGATGACTTGCGGTAAAGCCAAAACGTCCGATAATCCCAACAGGGGCGATTTTAGCGACTAGTAAGGCCTATTGGGGGCTAATGCTGTTGTTTTGGGTGCCTTTGTTCGCAGGTCCCTGAATACGGCCGTTTCTTTTTTCTCTTTCTTTGGGTCCTTTTGGACGGTTTGGAGGACGCCCAAAGGTCCTCCTATGTTAGGACAAACCCATATCTTTAGACTTTAGACTTTTGGAGTTTTGAGGGAACGACGTGTCCCGCCAAAAGTAAGATTTTCAACACACGGGAACAGCCACGGTGTTTCAGACGCACCTTGGGAGCACGGCTGTTGAGTTGCATCTCAGGCTGAAGCTGGAAGTGATGCCAGGCGGGCGTGCTGGATGCAAGCAAAGCCCGGGTAGTGAGGTAGAGGACAGTCCCAACCAGAAAAAGAAAACCGGCGCGGACATTCGCTCTTCGGATTTCCGAAGCGTGGCTTTAGGTTTCGCGGACGACTTTCAGGCCGGTTCAGATCCCAATCATCACAGTTCCTTGAAGGCTTTGATACTTTGGTCAAAGAGTAACTGGGCATTTCTGCTACCAAGACCCGCCTCAGTGCTTTCAAGGGACACAGGGCGGCCATCTTGTCCCCATTTGGAGACAGATTCGTTCGGGTGGATGGCAGTTTTTTACCAGGCGGGCTGTGCAAGTTCTTCCCCCTAGTAAGTTAGCTATACTCACGGCTGCTACTAGGAGAACACCCGCTGCGAGACTGTTGTTGTTTTTGGCAACACGAGAGATAATCTCTTTTGAGTCGTTCGTTTTGGGCACAGAAGTGGTCAACAAGCCAGTGGAAAGTGCCGATAGCCATGCTCACAGAACATGGCTGTGTAAAATAGGGTTTCAGGATCACTTTCTGCGATAGCAAAAGAGACCCTCCCTTTTTTTCTTGATCTTCTCTCAGGTCCCATGGCAGCTTCGAAATATGTTTTTTGCTTTTTTTGTTTTTTGATTTGGAGCCCCAGAAGGGGTGTGTTTTCCTAGTGGTTCCTTCAAAGCCACCAAAACAAAACTTGGGACCCTCAAAAAAGACACCCAGGACCATGTTCGCCCCCTCCTCTCGCCTGTTGGGCTTGAGTGTGACGCTCCGGAACGAAGTGCCAGGCTGGCAGAGCGTGAGATCAAGGAGAGCAAGGAGAGTCAGGAGAGCCAGGACAGCCAGGTCAAGGCAAGCCAGGAGAGCAAGGAGAGCAAGGAGAGCAAGGAGAGCAAGGAGAGCAAGGAGAGCAAGGAGAGCAAGGAGAGCAAGGAGAGCAAGGAGAGCAAGGAGAGCAAGGAGAGCAAAGAGAGCAAGGACAGCCAGGTCAAAGAAAGCCACGAGAGCAAGGAGAGCAAGGAGAGCAAGGAGAGCAAGGACAGCAAGGAGAGTCAGGAGAGTCAGGAGAGCGAGGTCAAAGAAAGCCATGAGAGCAAGGAGAGCAAGGAGAGCAAGGCGGCTTGTTTGCAACCAATAGAACGGTTTCAACGAAGCACCTGGATGCTGCAGTTGGTTCTTATGCCAAGCCGCTTGCAGGGGTTTGCCGACCCCTATGTTCTACTCAACACTTGGTGGTTTCCTCCATACCCTCAGACTGTTTAGACTTGATATTGTCGAGGGATTTAAGACACATCTCACCAAATGTTTCGCACTTGCAAGAGATGAATGAACGAAGTAAATCGACGTGCGGGGGTAAGTCGACCGTAGTTTTCCTCGAAGACACCCGTGAAACCGAGGAGAGCAAGAGCCAGGAGAGCCTTAGCTCTGACGTCAAGGAGAGCAAGCCCTCTGAGCTCAAGTCGAGCCAAGACAGCGAGGTACGTCCGCGGGCCTCCGGTCCGCAGTGTTTTAAGCAGGGTTTTGCGGGCTGACGATGTCTTTCGCATGACCGGTTTTATAAACCGAACTGCGGCCCCCCCCTGACAGATTGGAACCCAGAAAACGAGCAGTGTTGGAGGCTCCTTTTGGGGGACTGCCTTTTTGAGTTCCATGTTCACTTGCGGAAGAGTACTGTTTTGTCACCCCGTTCCACCCAGCCACCTAGGCCAAGCCGCAGAGAGGTCGTTCGTCGTGCCCTCGCCAGGCCAAAGACTCCAGTTCCTCGTCGAGCTCCACCTCCGACTCCGAGTCGTCGCAGGCGGGCTGACCTGAGATGGTGTCCATTTTTCTGGGGCTCGGGGGCTCGGTACCCCTGTGTGGGGGTTGGGGATTCAAAGGGACACCTGAAGGGACATCATTTTTTGTTTGGGTTCCCCTATGTGGAGACAGATCCAACTGAATCCTTGCTGGAAATCTGGGGGAACCGCCCTGATTGATTGCCTCCCACTCTCGCGTTCTTTTGTGCTTTGGGGGGTCATTCTCGTGGTGTGCAACATCTCAGGAAGTGAGTCCGGCGCTAGCCATTGGTCAAGCTAAGCATGGCTTCCTTGAAGGGAGGCCCTGAAGCCCGCTCACCTAGGGTTCCTTATCTTGCCAAGAGGGATGTTGAGAGGCTGAGGCGGAGCCATGTTTCTCACAATCATTGAACCAAACTCCAGGAAGTGCTGAGACGACATGTACGAAACATGTCTTGTTTTTGTGGGTATTTGGCAAACTTCTGAGAGACTGTTTGTTAGGCACGATGTCCCAACAAGCAACTGGTGTTTTTGTCAGAACCGCCGTTGACGGAGGGTCTCTCCAAAAAGGGTCCTCATTTTGCCCCCTTTCACAGGCAACAAAGGCAGTGCTTGTTGTAAAGTAGGGGAACCCGAAATGGTTGGTTTCACTTTCCCTAGAGTTCATATGACCACCATGATTTACCGAAGAAATTTCATCCAAGTTGGGTCCCCTTGCGCCATTCTTTTAATGCGGGTTGAATGAACCCTAGGGCTTTGGTTTCCCTTACAAACACCCACTGGTGGTTTCCCCTGTTTGCAACTTTCGGAGGTTCCAAGAAGGGAAATCGAGGCTTGGTGTCCCTTGGTTCCCTTTAGAACGGCGATCGCAAGACACACCTTTCTGAATGAATCATCCCGGCCGGGCCGCTTCGTAGGCTGATTCGAAGCTGGCTTCCAGCAAGGATGACGAGGCCTACCGATTGTGGCGAACCTTTTCGCTCTGGTTGAGATGTGTGTCTTGGTTTTGGAACCCTTTGAAGGGGGTTGATTTAAAGAG